GTGTCCTCACCGGATAGACAGAAAGAGAGAGAGAAATGACCCTTTGAGGGGGATAGTCAATCCCCACTGAGATCACTTCTCTAGTCTCATCTCGGGATTTAGGGCATGCGCACACACAAGCCCAGCATGTTATTCAAGTTGGCGGGTCTGGGACTCAAACCATATAGTGAGCCATGTGGGATGACCTTAACCACTATACCACCAGCTGGCTTTAAACTGGTAATCTTTTAAAAAATTAAGTAATTTTAAAATAAATAAATAAATTTTAAATTAATTAGTCAATTTATTTATTTATTAATTTATTTTGGGGGGGAGAGGTTTTTGCTATAGGGAGTTTGTGCTCTCCAGACAGACAGAGAGAGACAGAGAGACAGAAAGCGAGAAATCACCCCCCGGGGGGATGGCCACACCGCAATCCCTTCTCCTCCATTCTCCCTTCGGGATCTTGGGCACGCATGCACATGCACCTGGTGTGAGTTTAAGCCACCAGGCCCAGGACTTGAACTGCAGTCGACTCCGTGGGAGTCCAGTGACATAGCAATTATGCCAACTGCTAGTCTCAAATAAAATCTTAAAAAAAAAAAAGTTCTGGGGCCAGCAAGTGACATGGGGTCAGCAGTGGCACACTGGTTGAGGCACTGGACTCCCACATGGCCAGCCATGGTTCAGGTCCCGAACCTGGCAGACTGTTCTCTCACTCTCCCTTTCTCTCTGTCTGTCTCTGGTCAAAATGGAAGAATAACGATAATAAACAAAATTAAAAATAAATCTTTAAAACAAAACAAAACAAAATGTTATGCCAATAAATTAGTTGATTTACACGAAAAGCATAATTCCTTGGAAACTAATTTACCTAAGTTGATTAAAATAAAATACAATATCTGAAGTGTTTTATCTACTGAAGAATATGAATCCATTATTGAAATTTTTCTCATAATGGAAATACTAGACCAGACAGTTTCATTGGTGAATTTCATGAAATACTTTGGGAAGAAATAACCACTTATTTTATACAAATTATGTCTTGTCAGAGAGGAAATAAATAAACTTTAAAAGAAAAAAAGAACAAACTGAACCTAACGTTCTATAAAGATAACACGTTTTGCCCAAGTTGGGTGTAGCAGAAGATTAAAAGGTTGAATTAATATCTGACATCTGATGAGTGTAATTCGTAATATTAACGGTATAAAGAAAATCTTAAAAATTTGCTCATTTCGATCGACACAATGCTAATTTTGTTTAGATACTCACTTTAAGTTTTCTAATTCCTGTTTTCTCAGGGGAGAAGAAGGTGGAGCTGGAATGAATTTATCTCCATCATGGCTTTTACTGCTAAAATAGAGACAGACTCTTAGTTATAAGCAATAAACAAACATTTACTGTAAAATTCTGTTTCCCTCTCCCACTCCCATGCAATCTTTCATGACATAAGTATAAAAGAGAAAAAATGCAAATGCTTAGTAATTTGATATCGCTAACATGTTAACGCTATATGGTGTACGGGAACCAGCAGTTGGCGTAATGGCTATGTCGCTGGGCTCCCACGTAGTCGACCGTGGTTCGCATCCCTGACCTGGTGGCTTAAACTCACACCGGGCGCGTGTGCGTGCGTTCCCAAGATCCCGAGAGGAGAATGGAGGAGAAGGGACTGTGGTGTGGCCATCCCCCCTGGGGGGTGATTTCTCACTTTCTGTCTCTATGTCTCTCTCTGTCTGGCGAGCGCACACACCCTATAGTGAAAATCTCTCCAAAAAAAAAAAAAAAAAAGCTATATGGTGTATTCGTTTCTTTTCTAGCACACACTACTACTATTCAAAACCTCTCACTGAAGAGCTAGCACGAGGCATGGAGGCAGCTGGCTCTTACATAGCCAACTGCTCCGTTCAAGTCCCGGATACAGCAGCTTGAAAATCACACCAGGTGTGTGTGTGTGTGTGTGTGTGTGTGTGCAGGCCCCAAATCCCGAGAGGAGGATGGAGGAGACTGACTGGAATGGCCTCCCCTGGAAAGTGATTTCTCGTGTCTCTCTGGCAAGTGCACACGTCCTGTGGCAAAAATCTAAAAACAAAACAAAACAAATCTCCAACTGAAAACATTACTACATAAAGGAAATCACTCCAATACTTTCACATGTTTTTCATTCTTCTGATTGCATTTTCTTTGCTAAACAGCGTATGTGCCCACCAGAGAGAAATTGGGGGTGAAGTGGGCAGTGAGAAATTATCCCCCTCAAGGGAACAGCAATGCTGCAATCTCTTCTTCATTCTCCTCTTGGGGTTCTGGGCGCACACACACTTCCAGTGTGACTGAAGACACTGGGTCCAGGACTTGAACCACACAGTGGGCCCTGTGGGATCCAGTGCCTTAGTAAAACATTACTCACTGATGGGGGAAAAATATAAGTTTACATCAAATTTCTATAAGAAACATGTATTTTTATATAATCAAGTAAAAAAATGCTGGGACGAAAGACCTAAGTTTAAAGGTGCCCTGTAGATCGGGGTAGATAGATCATTCCATACATAACAGTATTCATTTTATTATTATTATTATTATTATTATTATTATTATTATTATTATTATTATATACATTCTCTCAATTTCTACAGAATGGCACCACTGTTAATTTATACTAGAAAACTAGAAACATATACAAGTATGATCAGTGAGATGTAATGAGAAACTATAGGACGCAAGGTTTTGTTTTTAGTTTTAGCTACAGGATGCGTGTGCTCGCCAGAGAGAAACTGAGAGGGAAAGTGAGAAATCCGCTGCAACCCCTTCTCTTCCTCTGGAGATTTTGGGCACTCACGCATCTGTGCCTGGCTGCCAGGTCCAGGACTCAGACCAGGGCTTCAGTTTTTTTATCCTGTATGCCACCTGCTGGCCTGGACTTAAATATTTATTTATTTATTTATTTATTGGAGAGGTTTTCGCTATAGGGCGCGTGTGCTCACCAGACAGAGAGAGACATAGAGACAGAAAGCGAGAAATTACCCCCCAGGGGGGATGGTCACGCTGCAATCTCTTCTCCTCCAGTCTCCTCTCGGCATCTTGGGCACGCATGCACACACGCCCGGCGTGAGTTTAAGCCACCGGGTCCGGGACGCGAACCGCGGTCAACTATGTGGGAGGCCAGCGACATAGCCATTACGCTAACTGCTGGTTCCCTTAAATATTCATTTTAATAAATGTAAAAATAAAAAAAGAAAGTCCTCTGATAACAAGAGGACTTTTTCCAAATATCCCTCATCAATGAAAAGCTCCTACTTTCCGTTTTTCTCCTTTGGGCTTCTCTGCACTTAGCCTTCACCTTCCTTCAGAGATTCCTAGGAACATCAGTATTTTCTTTTCTTGGAGAGGTTTTTGCTATAGGGCACGTGTGCTCACCAGAAAGACAGAGAGAGACAGAGAGACAGAAAGCAGGAAATCACCCCCCAGGAGGGATGGCCACGCTGCAATCCCTTCTCCTCCATTCTCCTCTCAGGATCTTGGGCATGCACGCACACACGCCTGGCATGAGTTTAAGCCACCGGGTCAGGGCCTCAAACTGCAGTCGACTACATGGGAGTCCAGGGACACAGCCATTACGCTAACTGCTGGTCCCAAGAACATCAGTATTTTCTTTCTTAATATTTACAGCAGAGCATTTTGGAAATGCAGGCTGAAGATTTTAGGAATTTCATTAAAAGCAAAGAGGCTTACACAGAGAAGTCCTGCAAGGGTTCTGCTAAGGAAGGCCAGAGGCTAGGATACCTGCACGTTTCGCTGCTTTCGCTGCTCTCGGTGTTCCCACCGAGGTGATTGTTATTTTTAGACCCATTTTCCTGCTTTGGATCTTGCTGTTCTTCGGGTAACAGTAACAATGCGTTTCTGAGACAAATGGCCGCAAACTCCATGCTGGCTACAGGAATGGCTGAGGACTGCCCATCACTTAAAAGAACAAAATCAAATTAGCTAAGTAACATAGAAATGGGTAAGTCTTTCCTGTCATCAGGGATAAATGAATGAATAGTAAATAAAAACTCTACCCTCTGGTAGGCAGGACTTTTAACATGAACAGTTGAAAGAGAATACGGAAGAACATAAATCTTGAGTATTATACATGGGATGTGAAAAAAGGAACTATATATCGGGTTGTTAGAAGAGTCATGACGTATGTTCTATGTGAAAATGTATCATGATTTTTCTAACAAGCTCAATATACCAAACCAAGTTTTCTTTATTAGGAAAAATAGAAAATCTTGAAAACTCCTAACAATGTTGAGGGGCCGGCAGGTGACGTGGTGACCAGGGGCGCTGGACTTCCACATGGCTGACTGCAGTTTGAATCCTAAACCTGGAGGCTTGCTTTCTCACCCTCTCTCTCTCTCTCTCTCTCTCTCTCTCTCTCACTCACTCACTCTGTCCATCTTTGGTCAAATTTAAAAGCCAGTAAATAAATAAAGTTAAATAAAAATAATAAAATAATTCTAAAAAGTCATCAGTGTTGAAATTGTAGGAAAATGATGCTTTTTAAAAATCAAATAGTCATTTTATGAAAGAATTATTTTTATGTTATGTATGTATGTATGTATTAATTATCACATGGCTTTTGCCAGAGAAAGACATGGGGGTGGGGTTAGAAAGCAAGCCTCCAGGTCGAACCATGGTAGGCCACGTGGGAATTTTCAGTGCCCTAACCATCATGTCACCTGCTGGCCCTAATCAAATAGTCTTTTTAAAAGTACCTGCATATTCAATCAAAAGCCAAGTATTGTGCTATTTAAACTTCAGGAAAACTTTAAATTAACTAACAAGATTCTTCTTTGACAAAGAGATAAAAGGCAACTCATTTTCTGCAAAGCCTTCTACACAAGTAACAGGAGCTCCGAACCGGGACCTTTGTACAAGATGGCTTATTTACTTCACCGGGATAAAATGAAGGGCGTGTAGGTGACAGCGCTATACCACCATGCTTCTCCTGCAGTTCACTTTTCCTCCTAACACTGTATACCAGCTGTGAAGGGGTTTCATTCCCAGGGACTATGAGAAAACACCCACATGAAAAACGTGAGCGTCCATCGGAACTACATGCAAAGGAGACGCCGACATGCCCTCTTCTGGACAGTCTACATAAAGGCACTGAATAGACTAGAGTTTCTTTGGCTATTAATAATTTCAGCACCCGGGACCAGCAGTTAGCGTAACGGCTATGTTGCTGGACTCCCATGTAGTTGATCGCGGTTCGAGTCCCGGACCCAGTGGCTTAAACTCACACTGGGCATGTGTGTGTGCGTGCCCAAGATCCTAAGAGGAGAATGGAGGAGAAGGGATTGGGGTGTGGCCAACCCCCCCACCCGGGGGGTGATTTCTCGCTTTCTGTCTATCTCTCTGTCTTTCTGGCAAGCGCACGCGCCCTATAGCAAAAACCTCTCAAAAAGAAAGAAAGAAAGAAAGAATTTCAGCACACGATGTATTTGACCCAAACCACCGCCTGTGGGATGACATTCACTATGGACCTATGTATGTATAAGACTTACTTATAAACAGTATTCTGTATGGACTGCGAGGCCAGAACTATCTTGCGATGATAGCCTTGACCGACAATAGACTGTACAATTCCTTTTTTGCTTGGAAGTCCTTTGGTTTCTTGTTCAGAAGTCTGGAAAAATACAAATAATTTCCAATAAATTTAAGGAAGTTACACAATGTGGTCTGAAAAGCAACTGAAACCTTTCACAGGACTATAAACGTGAAGTTCTTTCGGTTTTTTGGGAGAGGTTTTTGCTATAGGGCGTGTGCACTCGCCATAGAGACAGAGAGAAACAGAGAGACAGAAAGCGAGAAATTCCACCCCAGAGGGGATGGTCACACCACAATCCCTTCTCCTCCATTCTCCTCTCGGGATCTTGGGCATGCATGCACATGCGCCCGGCATGAGTTTTAGCTATCGGGTCCGGGACTTGAACCGAGGTCACCTATGTGGGAGTCCAGCGACACAGCCATTATGCCAACTGCTGGCCCCAAACATAAAGTTCTTAAAACCGTTCTATGTGGAACTTTTCTTCTTATTTCCTCCACATGAGGAGGAAGGAGGGGCACCCATCACCGTCGTGGCTGCCATCTTCCCCCAAACGTGCAGGTGGCCAAGACCAAGGGGACACTTATGTCCAGGTAGACCTTGGACACGCCCGAAGCCTTCCCACTGGAGTGGCCTCCAGTATCACTCAGCGGCACTCTCCTGCCTGTTTCACCCTAGCTATGCTAACGTGCATTGTTTTTCTTTTATTTTTTAAAAAGAATTATTTTGTATTTAAATTTTTCATTATTATTATTATTATCATTTTAAACTTGACCAGAAAATAAAAGAGAGGGAAAGTGAGAAGGCAAGCTGCCAGGTCCAGGACTTGAACTACTCTTGGCCATGTGGGTGTCCAGTGCCTTAACCACCATGCCACCTGCTGGCCCCACCAGATCAGTTTTAATGTGAAAGGATCATAAAATAGTAAGTCTACATTTGTATTTAGCAGACACGTTCTCGTATATTACACGAGGCCAGGTGAACATAAGCCTCACTGCTGCCAAAAGAAGTCTGAAGCAGCTTAGGCTAGACAAGGGACAAAACGACCTCCTTGGCATCACTAGTTGAACAAATTCGGTTTTGTTTTTCCCCTTTATGAGAGAAAGTGGGAATAGGAGATCTCACAGGATGGTGCCATGTCACTATCCTCCCACTCTAGCCTCCCAGCTAGCCAGGATTACAGGCCTGCACCTGTAAGTGCGGTCGGCGGGGCGCAGGAATCGAACCCCTGTCCCATGTGGCTTGCAGCAGCCCAAAGAGCAGCATCCATGTGCCACCATGGATGAGCCGTAAGCTTTTTTTTAAATTTTGTTTTGGTTTTAAGTTTATTTTTTCCTTCCATGAGTAAAAGAGAGCAATAAAGCCCCAATAGGGGCTTTTTATTTTTTAAAAATAATTAAATTGATTTCTTCATTTATTTTAATTTGACCAGAGGGTGGGAAGGAGGGAGCGAGGGAGGGAGGGAGGGAGGTAGAGCGAGAAACCAAGCTACCAGGTCTGGGATTCGAACCTTGGTCGGCCACGGCCATGTGAGAGTCCAGTATCCCAACCACCACACCACCGGCTGCTCCCACTCCAACAGGGTCTTAATACTACAATCGGCCCCCAGCCTCAGTCCACCTCAGATCATGCATGGCGTACTCAGGTAGGTCTCCAAACAGAAGCCGGGACCTTTCCCATGTGGGCTGGTCTCATGGCATCGTATTTCACCACTTCGCCACCATCTAGCTCCCATCTTCACCATTTTTAAAACATGACAAATTTTAGAACTTTCTAGACAAAAGTGGGAGGTGGAGAAAGAAACCCTGTAAGGCCAACAAAACCCACAGAACAAAGACAACCCTGGGCTTTGGTGCCTGTGGCCAGCATTGGAGGGGTCAGCCAGAAATGTACAGAAGTCAGCTTTGGGTAGATCTGAGGACGGATGCAGCCTCGACTCGTAAAACAGAAGCTGGAAATATAATGGCGAACCCAACAGTTGTTTCCTGCTCTCACAGAACTTAAAGTTTACTGAGGAAGATAAAAACCAAACAAGCCACTAACAAAGACCTGTTTGAACTGTGGTGGTTTCAGCAAGGCTCGGTTTCCTTCCTCCGGCCCTTGTAAGCTGGACGCCTGCTGCTCTCCTGTGTTCTCTCCTCGTCTTTTTTTTTTTGGTTGAGGTGTTTGCCATAGGGCATATGCACTCGCCAAAGAGAGACAGAGAGACAGTAAGAGGGAAAGTCAAGAATCAGCCCCCGGGGGGATGGCAACGCTGCAATCCCTTCTCCTCCATTCTCCTCCTGAGATTCTGGGCATGCACACACAGGTGCTGGAGTGATTTTCAAACCACCAGGTCCAGGTCTTGAACTGCAATTGGCCATGTGGGAATCCAGCGCCTTAAGCACGTCACCCACTCGCCGCTGCTTTCGTATTTCCTTCCGTACTGCCATGGCATGCCACTTGGAGACCCCGCTCTGCCTTCTGTCTGTGGCCTGGTACAGCACCTCCAGAAAACGCCTCCCTGTGCAGTGGCACGTAACACTGCCATTGTCTTAACACTGCGATCACCTATGTCTTTATAAGCAAGTTCATGCTCCAAATGTTTTATTTTTCTTTGAAGAATTATTTTATTTGGGGGCCAGCAGGTGGTGTGGTGATTGGGGGCGCTGGACTCCTACATGGCTGACCATGGTTCGAGTCCCAGACCTGGCAGCTTGCTTTCTCACTTTCCCTCTTCCACCCTCCCTCTCTCTCACTCTGGTCAAATTGAAATAAATAAATAAATAAAGTTGAATAAAATAATTCTTTAAAAAAATTATTTTGGGACCAGCAGGTGGTATAGTGGTTGAGGTGCTGGACTCCCATATGGAAGACCATGGTCAGAATCCTAGACCAGGTGGCTTGCTTTCTCATTCTCCCTTTCTCTCTGTCTGTCTCCCTCTGGTCAAAATTGAAGAATAATGATAATAAATAAAATTAAAAGTCAATAAATCTTTAAAAAAGTAATTATTTAATTATTATTACGGGTTTTTTTTAGGGTTTTTTTTTTTTTTTTGCTATAGGGTATGTGTGCTCGCCAGAAAGGGAGAGAGGACGGAGAGACAGAAAGCAAGAAATCACCTCCTGGGGGGAGGGCCATGCCACAATCCCTTCTCCTCCATTCTCCTCTCAGGATCTTGGGCACACATGCACGCACATGCACTCCACATGAGTTTAAGCAACTGGGTCCGAGTCTTGAACCGTGGTCAACTACATGGGTGTCCAGTGACATACCCATTATACCAATTGATGGTCCCAGGGTGCGTCTACTCACCAGCGAGACAGAGTCAGACAGAGAGAAAGCGTGAAATCATCCCCCGGGGAGATGGCCATGCTGCAATCCCTTCTCCTCCATTCTCCTCTCAGGATTTTGGGCACACATATACATGTCCCTAGTGTGAGGTTTAAGCCACCAGGTCCCGGACTCAAACAGTGCTCAACTATGTGGGAGTCCAGTGACATAACCATTATGCCATCTGCTGGTCCCCTATCTCTTTTTATGTTTTAGGAGTTTAAAGGCCAGCGGGTGATGTGATGGTTAGGGACGCTGGACTCCCACATGGCTGCCCACAGTTTGAATCCCAGCTTGCTTTCTCACTGCCCTCCTGCCCCACTTTGTCCCTCTTTGGTCAAACCAAAATAAACAAATAAATGAAGTTAAATAAAATAATTCTTAAAAAAAAAAAAAGTTCCTCCTAGAGTGTTCCTCAGTTAACTTGAAAATTATCCAGGGCCAGCTTAGTGACAAAGCAGTAATGCGATGCTTAAGTGACAGTGGATCCACACGAAACATCATGGGCTTATTTCCCTGTAATTGGGTGCACATGCCCAGGGTCTCTGCTGGGCAGCGGCTGGGGTGCAGGCAGATCACAGCAGAGACTCTAGAGGGTCTGGATCGCTCTCTTATGAAAAGAAAATGAACTTAAGAAAAATGAAAAGGAGAATGATCCGGTAAAAAAAATCCAATAAGAAAGGGACTAGCAGTTAGTGTAATGGCTATGTCGCTGGACTCCAATGTAGTCGACTGCGGTTCAAGTCCCGGACCTGGTGGCTTAAACTCACGCCGGGCGCCTGTGCCCAAGATCCCGAGAGGAGAATGGAGGAGAAGGGATTGCAGCATGACCACTCCCCCGGGGGATGATTTCTGTCTCTCTGTACTCTCTCTGTCTGTCTGGTGATCGCATGTACCCCTATAGCAAAAATCTCTCAAAAAAACCCAAACAAAATAAAAAACAAAACAAAACAAAACAAAACAAAGAAATCTGATAAGAAATAAGAATGATCCAATAAGAAAAATGAAAAAGAGAATGATCCAGTAAGAAATCCAATTAAATAAATCATAAATAAATCATTTAATTGATTTATTTAATACAATGAAATAAATCCCCAAAGCCTCTCGAAGACATTCACATCTCTCTTTTTTTTTAAATTTAATTTTATTTATTCATTCATTTATTTTAATTTGACTAGAGAATGAGAGAGAGATACACAGAGAGAGAGAGAGGAAAGTGAGAAAGCAAGCCGCCAGGTCTGGGATTTTACTCCTAGTGTTCTCACATGATAAACGATTTCAGTAGCAGGCGTGGGAACCAGCAGTTAGCGTAATGGCTATGTCGCTGGACTCCCACGTAGTCGACCGCAGTTCGTGTCCCGGACCCGGTGGCTTAAAACTCACGCCGGGCGCGTGTGCGTGCGTGCCCAAGATCCCGAGAGGAGAATGGAGGAGAAGGGATTGCGGCGTGACCATCCCCCCAGGGGGGTGATTTCTCGCTTTCTGTCTCTATGTCTCTCTCTGTCTGTCTGATGAGCGCACGCGCCCTACAGTGAAAATCTCTCAAAACAAAACAAAACAAAACAAAACAACCCCGATTTCAGTAGCAGGCGTTACAATGGCCAGGCACTGAAATCCCTGAGTTCTCTAGCTGTTTCTCGCAGGACAGCCTTAGCATCTCTATCACCTCTGGCAGGCGTGCCAGGCCAGATCTCAGGACACCGTACCCCCCCAATCTCCACACACCCAAGGACCACGGCCGGGCAGGGGTGAGCGGGAGGTGGGTGACGCAGACTTCTGGTCTTCCTGATACAACCTGTCTTTGCCCACCTCCCACGGACCCCTCCCAACTGGAGATTCAGGAGGCTTCCAACTGCCGTGTGGAGATAATCCAGCAGACGTGGACTAAGCTGGCCTGTTCCACTGCCACTGTGAACACACACGGGACAGAGAGAAACAGCCCAGTAATTCATGAGCTGTCATTTACAGAAACAGAAACAACACCCCAGCGTGGAGGACACGCAGTTTAATGAGGTCCTTCCCGTTGTGTTATCAGTCCTCCTCTAATCACCTGGCTCACACGCCATTTTCACTGCAGCAAACTGCAGGGCCCCTGCCCCAGCAGCTCCCAGAGCACTGTTACGACAGATAGGACCTCACTGACCCAATGCCTTAGTGTTGCCATTACTAACCAACAGCTAGAGAATTTAACGAATGACCTTAAAAAATATATATATTTAATTTAATCATTTTGGTTATTTATTTATTTTAATCCGCGCAGAAAGGGAGGGGGAGAGAGAAAGAGAGACACAGACAGAGAAAGTGAGAAAGTAAGCTGCCAGGTCCAGGACTCGAACCATGGTCAGTCATGTGGGAGTCCAGTGCCCTTAATCACCATGCCACCTGCCAGCCCCAACAAGTGACTTTTTGAAACTAAATTTGTTCCTCGTCAAATTAAATTTGTTCTGGTGAAGAGCAGAAGACAATCTTTATAAATTCACTGAAGGTCGGAAAGGGAATGAGCGGCCGGCTCAGCGGCGAGGGCGTTAAGGGCTTCGTGTGGCCAGCTGCAGTGTGCGTCCCAGGCCTGGCAGCTAAAATCACACCAGGTGCACGTGCACGCACAACACTCAGCGAGACTGAGAAGCGGAGGAGAAAGGACTGGGACGTGACGACACCGCGCACGGGGGTCCGCGTGCCCACCGTCTCTGGCGAGCGCTCGTGCCACCTGGCAGTACGAGAGAATGGAAAGAAGAGAAAAGGGCGTGAGCTGGTGTCCACCCCAGTAGCTACCCGTCCCACTGCTGCGTGCTGGAGAAGCGAGGGCTCCACAGAGGCCCAGGCGGCACTCACCCCTTTATTGGCGGCGATGCAGCACTCAGCCAGCCTCAGCCAGAGGCGGGGATTGGCGTGGTAGACCTGCACAGCTTCGATCAGACACTCGAAGGCAGCGAGAGGCCTCCCGATGTGCAGCAGCTGGATCCCGCAGTTGTACAGCAGCTCGTAGCGCTTGTTGGTCAGTAACGTACACATGGGTCTTCCGGAGAACTTTCTGCCTGGTGGGAACAGGAGAGAGTCAGTCATCGGATGTAAAGGAACAGGGACACTGGAAACATTTAGTCCCACTGAGTACTTGGACCCAGCACGTTTAAACAACGAGCCCAACCTGAAGCTGTAATTGAGCTCACCAGTGGTGGTCTCCACCCTCGACCCCGCAGCTAGGCTGCAGAACCATCTCAGGTGTCTACGCTGGCCCGGTCAGAGACCCCTCCTGTCGTCTGCCACCTCCTCGGGCAGCAATGTTCCAGCGAGGCAGAGACAGGACCTGCTCTCAGTCCTCTGAGCTGCACACCACCTTTCCATAGTTTTAGACTCTCACTTATAACAAGGTTCCACTTTTTATTTTTTTTTTGGCTATAGGGTGTATACATTCGCCACAGAGCAAGAAGGAAAGAGACAGAGAGAGAGAGGAAGCACCCCCCTGAGGGATGGCCACACTGCAATCCCTTCTCCATTCTCTAGGGATCCAGGGCATGCATTTATGTGCACCCTGCATGTTATCAGGCTGGAGGGGCTGGGACAGAAACATGCAGGTGTCCCATGTGGGATCCAGCAGCCTGAGCCCCCAGCCACTGACTGGCCCTCCACTTTTTCATTTCTAGCTTGGTTAACTATTTTACTGTCATGTGCTATCACGTATGTAACGCTGCACAGTCCACAGTAAAGTAAGTCCACCTGTGATTTAGAACCATCCACTAACTGGGTAAGGTTGTACCACGTTTAAAAGCTAAATAATGGGGCCAGCAAGTGGCATGGAGGTTAAGGCAGCTGGATCCCACATGGCCTACTTGCAGTTCGGGTCCTAGACCCGACGTCCTGAAAATCATGCCAGAGGTGTATGTGCACGTGTTCGAGATCCCAAGGGACAATGGAGGAGGGACTGCAGCATGCCATCCCTCCTCGGAGAGATTTCTCACTTTCCCTTCACCTCAGTTTCTGTTTCTCTCTAGAGAATGCACACATCTTATAGTTAAAAAAAAAAAAAAGCAAAATAGTGGCTTGATTTTAAATACTTCATATCAAAAATCCACATAAACATTAAAGGTTAAACTTTAGAAATTCGCTGAGAGACTGTCAACAGTACCACATGTGAAACTGTAAAGACACTATAATAAAACTTGTCTGGCACAATCAAGACACCTAACTTCCACCCATCAAATATTCTGGCTCATAGCATTACCACATGGAGTTCCTAACATTTAAATCCATGACAAACTGAATGCAACTTAAGGTTTTTTTAAATAATTATTTATTTATTCATTCATTTATTTCTTAATTTGACCAGAGACAGAGAGAGGGTGAGAGTGAGAGAGAGAAGTGAGAAAGGAAGCCATCAGACTCAGGACTCGAACGGTGGTCGGCCATGTGGGAGTGTCCAGCACCTTAACCACCACGCCACCTGCTGGTCCCCAATGCAACTTAAGTTTTGAATAATTCAAAATTACTCCCAGTACTTAGCTATTCAAAGTAGCGCTATTTACCCAGAACACCCCCATCTTGTTGGGCAGGATCAGCATCAACTGCATGTAGGTCTACATGGCAGGTACTGGGAACAGACATGGCTCTATTTTTTTTTTAAATTAATTTATTAATTTATATATATATTTTTTAATTCGACCAGAGAGGGACAGACAGAGAGAGAGAAAGCAAGAAAGCAAGCCGCCAGGACTGGGCCTCCAATCATGGTGGGCCATGCGGGAGTCCGGCACCCTTAACCACCACGCCACCAGCCGACCCCCAAACACCGGCTCTTTGATGGGAGCTTTCTCAAGCAGAACACGGACGGCCCCCTCCGCGCCGGGCTTACCTTGATCAGTGCTACCTGCGCTGAGCTGTGCGCAGACGCTGTCGTTTTCCTGCAGAGCCTTTTTGAAGTAGAAAATTCCCAGATTGTGCTTGCTCATGGCAAAGTGGATGCAACCAAGATTGTTCCAGAACATGCACCTCAAGCATTCACCTGAGAAGGACACAAGTAGGTTCGGCCACAGGCAGATTCTCCTGTCGGTGTCTCCTGTACCAGAATCCCGCTTATCCAATACGGGAGAATGTGCTGTTTGCTATAACGCTTCATTCCCACAGAGCGATTCATGAGACATTTAAAATTCAGGGAAAGTCTAAAAAAATTTAAACCAGCTTTTCTTTTATTTTTTGGACAAATTCTTGCTATAGGGTGTGTACACTTGCTGGAGAGACAGAGAGACAAAGAGATAGAAAGTGGGAAATCACCCCCCAGGGGAGATGGCCAGGCGGTAATCCTTTCTCCTCCGCTCTCCTCTTGTGCACATGCACACACCTGACATGAGTTTCAAGTTGCCGAGTCTGCAACTCAAACCACGGCTGGCTACTTGGGAGTCCAGTGACGTAGACATTACACCATCTGCTGGTCCCTCTAATATGGTATCGAAAAACAAAAAGAGGGGACCAGGAGGTGATGTGGATTTTTTTGTTGCTGTTATTTATTTAGTTTTTTTTTTGGAGAGGTTTTCACTATAGGGCGCATGCGCTCTCCAGACAGACAGAGACAGAAAGCTAGAAATCACCCCCCCGGGGGGATGGCCACACTGCAATCCCTTCTCCTCCATTCTCCTCTCGGGATCTTGGGCACGCATACACATGCGCCTGGCGTGAGTTTAAGCCACTGGGTCCGGGACTCGAACTGCGGTCGACTACGTGGGAGTCCAGCGACATAGCCATTACGCTAACTGCTGGTCCGAACTGTTTTTTTTTGGAAAGAGATTTTCGCCATAGGCTACGTATGCTTGTCAGAGAGAGAGAGAAAGACGGAGAGACAGAGAGTAAGCAATCATCTCTACGGTGGGGGATGACCACTCACAATCCCTTTTCCTCTACTCTCCTCTCGGGATTTTGGGTACACATGCACATGCGCCCAATGTGAGGTTTAAGCTACTGGATCTGGGACTCGAACCATGGTTGACTATGTGGAAGTCCAGCAACTTAGCCATTAAGCCATCTACTGGTCCCAGTGGCGTGGAGATTAAGGCACTGGATCCCCATGGCTTACAGTGTAGTTCAAGTGCCAGAACAGGCGATGGCTTGAAAATCGCTCTGGGCACGTGTGCATGTGGCCCCAAATTCCCAGAGACCAGAGGAGAAGGCACTGCAGTGTGGCCATCCTTCGAGGGGTGAGTCTTCACTCTTTCTCTCTGTGTCTCTGGCGAGCACATGTGCCCGGGAGGAAAAACCAAAGGAGGTAATATGCACCGCTCAGGCTCCGCACACGTGCTCCACAGGCTGCACCCACACGGGGGCCCAGCTCCTCCTCCAGTCCAGCTCGAGACAGGCACTGGAGCACATGCCATGGTCCTGGTGGGCGGCTGAGGCAGGGGAATTACAACATGGTAAGACTGGTTTTTAAAAAAAGCAAGTGAGGATTTTTTTTTTTTTTTTTAAGAGATTTTTGCCTTAGGATGTGTACACTAGCCAGAGGCAGAGAGTGAGAGGGAAAGTGAGAAACCACCCCCAGCCCAGGGGAGATGGCCATGCCACAATCCCTTCTGCTCCATTCTCTTGGGATCTTGGGCATGCACGCAAACGCGCCTGGTGTGATTTTTGGAGCCACTGGGTCCGGAGCTTGAACCACAGTCAGTCATGTGGGAGCCCAGCAATGTAACCACTATGCCATCTGCTGATCCCAGAGAGCAAGTGAAGTTTAACATAATGAAAAAAGTAACAGGTTTCTTCTAAAGCAGAAAAAAGTCAGTAACTAAAATCCTAGTAATTTTCTGCAAAAGTATTTTCATTTAAAAATAAGCATTAAGTCACTCTCCACACAACAAGGGATAGAGGAGCTAGGAAAATAATACGAAAATCACATGATTTTCTTTTACCTGTTTTCATGAATCCTGGATGCTCGGCGATGTTTGAACTATTTAACAGTTTCACTGCTTTTCGATAATTACCCCTTAAGTATTCAAAATTGCTTTTAAGGAACAGAGAGGGTGCAGACTGTAAAGAAAATACAGACGTTAGTTTATTTGTAGGTACCTAACGCAAGATTCTAACTGCACTGCTACGTGTACGTTAAAGGGCGAAAACGAATCAGTCAAGGTCACATAAGATCACACGTTGTCTAATTTGTTCACTGCTCTCACAAATTAAAAACTGAAACTTATCAGAGAGAATCTCATAAAAAGTTATTAAGTCTACCTAAAAAATAAAAATACAACACATTCGCTTAAGAACGGAATCCGTAGATGATCAACTCCTGTCTTCACCTGCTACACACGACCTAGAAGCTACCTTGACAGCATACACCGGGCCCTTCCGTGTACGCGGCAGAGCCCTGAGGACCATACAGCCACCCAGGGACGTGGAACCCTCATCTCGTTTACATCCGTTAAGCTCAGGGACAGCTTTCCTTCTAATGTTAGTTGAACCTGCGCTCTGTCTCCTGTCCACCGGGCTTTCCAGGTTTGTTCTAGGTGGTGGCTTCCTCCGGAAGTTTCCCCTGCTCAAGCCTGACTGGTACACTGTATGCAGTGACTCATTTTCATCTGTCCGTCCTCTATGACAGCAGCCTTCTTTAAGGTAGGGATTATGTCTTTTATTTTTTCTTAAAAAAAGATTTATTTATTTATTTCATTCCTCTCAATATTATTATTATTCTTTTTTTAATTTGACCAGAGAAAGAAAGAGACAGAGAGAGAAAGGGAAAACAAGAAGGCAAGCCACCAGGTCCGAGACTTGAACTGTGGTCGGCCATGTGGGAATCCAGCGCCTTTAGCCACCACGCCACCTGCCGGCCCCATATGTCTTAAAATAGGTCTAACAAAGGCTGGCCAGGAAGTTAGGCTTTTCCCTCTCAGTCTCAGTGTGGGCTGTAACTGTGTGCTTCCAAAGCACTAGACCACTGCTGCGGTGCTGAATCCAGGTCCTCCTGAGGTTTCTAAGCACATCTCCTTGTGATTCCACACTTCTAAATTTATAGTTTTCCTAGAGTCAAGATTATTGGGACCAGCAGTTAGCGTAATGGCTATGTCGCTGGACTCCCATGTAGTCGACCACGGTTCGAGTCCTGGACCCAGTGGCTTAAACTTAAAGCACAGGCATGCCCAAAACCCTGGAAGGAGAGAAGTGGAGGGCAAGGGATGAGGCTTGACTGAGTACCCAGATGGGGTGATTTTTCTTCCTCTCTCTCTGGAGCGTGCATGTGCCCTCTGGTAAAGTATTTATTTTTTAAAGGTTTTTGCCATAGGGCATGTATGCTCACCAGAGAGAGAGAGACAGAGACAGTGAGAAAGTGAGAAACCACCCCTCAGGAGGGATGGCCTCATTACAATCCCTTCTCCATTCTCCTCCCAGGATCTTGGGCAGACACGCACACACACCCAGCTCGATTTTCAACCACCAGTTCCGGGACTCAAACTGTGGTTGGCTATGTGGGAGTCCAGCGATGTAACTGCTACACCATCTGCTGGCCCAGTAAATTTGTTTTTTTTAATTAAAGTTTTTAGTTTTTAGGGCTACAAAGGGGAAATACTTATTATAATTTAAAATTAAAAAAATGTATTATATTTAAAATGAGTGATATTAAATACAGAGACAATGTTGTCACTATTTCCCAACTCTACAATATCAAGGTTTTTATCTGGTAGTACACACACTGTAACAGACGAAAATATATTATTCAGAATTGACAACTACACTCAGCCTGAATGAGAGTCACAAATCGATAAACGAGGAAAGGCCAGACTTACATTTCCCGCTGTGTTCATAACTGACTTGATTTCTCTTTTGCATGCTTTCAGGGACTTCATCTGGATGTAAGCTCGTACTTTGTACTGTCGAAGAAATCATGTTAGCATGTAGGAACTGTGGTAGATTTACATGGGCTAATAAGTTTTACTTTCTACTTAAGGAAATGAAACACAATCTGTTTACAACATAGTTACAACAGTGTCCAGCAAAAGTAAGTTTAAAATGATCTTAAAGAACCTATTTTGACTATACTCTTGGAATGTACTCTAAAACTAAAAACATGGTAGAATAAAATTTATTCTTAGAACTATTACTATTTTGTTCTTAAAGAGGTTTTTGCCATAGGGCATGTGTGCTCGCTGGAGAGAAAGAGAGAGTGAAAGGGAAAGTGAGAAATCACCCCAAGGGGGATGGCCACACTGCAATTCCTTCTCCATTCTCCTCCTGGGATCTTGGGCATGCATGCACATGGGCCCGGTATGATTTTCAAGCCACTGGGTCCTGACTCGAACCTCAGTCAGCCACTATGCCATGTGCTGGCTCCTATTCTTAAAATTGTAAGGAAAAGGGCCAGCAAGTGGTGTGGTGGTTAAGGTGCTGGAATTCCCACATGGCCGACCACAGTTCCAGTCCCGGACCTGGCGGCTTCTCTCTCTCTCTCTCTCTCTCTCTGTCTTTCTCTGGCAAAATTCATGTGAAAATAATAATAAATAAAGTTAAATAAATTAAAAAAAAAAAAAAAGAAATGCTTTAAAAAAATTGTAAGGAAAATATCTTATCAATCCTTAGATACACATAGTTAATTAACGGTGGTTTCTAAAATTCCACAAACTAATTTTATTATCCAATATATTCCCAGGACATTTCTCTCAACCTTTTATATAGTAATTTAATAAATTTATGTTGGGTTATCATTTTATTATTTTTAAAAATAATTATTTTAATTTCATTTATTTATGATTCTTCTTCAATTTGACCAGAGACAGAAAAAGGGGGAGAGTGAGAAAGCAAGTCGCCAGGTCTGGAACTCAAACCATGGTCGACCATGTGGGAGTCCAGCACCCCAACCACCACGCCACCTGCCAGCCCCTTGGATTATCTTTTTAAGCAAAATGTATTTTGCAGGATAAATATGCTTCCTTCAAAGCCAAATAAATACACATGCTTTGAACTCTTCACTGCTTCAATGACCTACCGCACTGCTTCTGCTCATAACTGTGAGTACACGCATGACGTAAGCCCTCCCTTTACGGCTTACTCTACCTGGTGTATCTTTGACTTGGCAGCTTCTATCAGAGCTCCACTTTCAGCTTTGTGGTTAGATGCCTCTTTGTTGGAATTATTACCGGTCTGTAGGGGGGGTGAAACAAAGTTAGCCAAAATCAAATATGCTGACCATAATTTAATTTAAATGTGCAATTTCCAAGTGCCCTAATCCAAATCACTCAGAGAACGTTTTCAAAATGGAAAATGCCAAGTTGCATTCCCAGGGATGCAGGTTCGCTAAGCTCGAGTGACTGACAGGAGCACAAGGTGGAGCACAGCGGACTCATTTTAAAACAAAGCCATAACTTGGGCCGAACCCTCTTTCTAAAACCTGAGCAGAATGTATTGCTCTTTTTTTTTTGGAGAGGTTTTTACTATAGGGCGCGTGCACTCGCCAGACAGACAGAGAGACTGAGAGACAGAAAGTGAGAAATCGCCTCCCAGGGGGAACGGCCACACCGCAATCCCTTCTCCATTCTCCTCTCAGGGTCTTGGGCACACACGCACACGTGCCCGGCGTGAGTTCAAGCAACTGGGTCTGGGACTCGAACTGTGGTTGGCTACATGGGAGTCCAGAGACATAGCCATTACGCTAACTGCTGGTCCCTATCGTTCTTCTTAAAAACTCTGCTACACACACTGTCAGGGGACTCAACTACTACCTTCCCGGGGAAGCACCCCAAGGTCTTCCAGCTATGACCCATATTCCCACGCCAGCACCTCACTGCTCTCCATCACACTTCTCAGGCGCTGCCCGTTCCGCCTCCGGAAACTCCGGCACCCCGCATGCGCCCGTCTGCTGCGCTGCTGTGCCTGCCAGTAGTTTCATTGCTCCATCTCCCCCTTTCTCACTTGTTAAACTATTCCCATCTTTCAAGGTCCAAATCAAACACTCAGATTCTTCTAAAACATTCCCTAACCTCCTCCCTGCCCAGACACACACGTTGAGCAATCGAGCTCCTCTGAGAGCCCTGAAGACAAGAACTATGATGTTTTCATTTTTGTCCACTTCAAACGTGGCAGAGCACACGAGAATCTGCTGAACTAAACTACACTTCATCGTAAGTACTGAATATAAACAAATGAAATATTTTTCTACACGATGTTGAGGAATAATGCTAGGATTATTCGACTGAAATCCCTTATACATATACACTTCTTAAGCTGAAAAAATAATGCTACATGTTTATTCTATTTTTAAGCCTTGAGAACGTATACAGGCAGAAAGGTATTGACAATCTGTTTCCTGCCAACACTGTTCCTTTAACAAAGAGGCAGGAACAGGAAGAAGGAAGGGCCCGTCCTTGGACGAGCAGAAGGTACAAGCAAAAGCAAACACACGGGACCCGGGATGGGTCCTCGGTGTGCGCCAAGCCTCTTTCCAGAACAAGGTGAAGCTCAATGATCATAAACGGACACTTCCTAAAGAACTTTAATGATGAGATTTTCACTAATGAAAGCTACGCTGCGTATCCCAGAATATGTCTTTTATTGTCTGAATTGTAACCTTTGCATTCGGTAGAAATTTAATCTCCCACATGAGAAGTCTCGATGTAAATCCTTAGCTTTTAGGGAAAAGCAAATCAAAACTATGAGATACCATTCTGCACCCATCACGATAGCTACACAGTTTTTAAAAAAATAATTGTTTATTTTTATTTATTTATTCATTTATTTTAATTTGACCAAAGAGAAACACAGAGAGAGAAAGAGAACGTGAGAAAGCAAGCCACCAGGTCCAGGACTCAACCGTGGTCGGCCATGTGAGAGTGTCCAGCATCTTAACCACCACGCCACCTGCTGGTCCCACTACACAATTTTTTTTTTTTTTTTTTGGGGGGGTTTTTACCCTTCGGGGGCGGTCGCCCCCCAGACAGACAGAGAGAGACATAGAGACAGAAAGCGAGAAATCACCCCCCAGGGGGGATGGTCATGCTGCAATCCCTTCTCCTCTCGGGATCTTGGGCACGCACGCACACGCGCCCGGCGTGAGTTTTAAGCCACCGGGTCCGGGACATGAACCGCGGTCGACTACGTGGGAGTCCAGTGACATAGCCATTACGCTAACTGCTGGTTCCCCCGCTACACAATTTTAAAGCACAAGCAATAAACAAGTGATGTCTACAATGTGGAGAAACTGCCACTCTCCTGCATTCTGGTGGGACATGAGACAGGACAGCCAGTTCAGCAAATGGTCCGGTCGCTCCTCCTAAGGTGGACCTGTCATATGACGCAGTGACTCTAAACCTAACGCATATCCAAGAAAACGGAAAACATCTACACATACACATCTGTACACAAACGTTCATTACTGCATTATTTATTACAGCCAAACCAAACTAAATGTCAACTGAGAAACACATTTGAACAAATGGGACATAGCCACCTACTGGATAAAATACACGAAAAAGGAATACAAACATGCTACATGGATGAAGATGGAAAACATGCTACAACATGACGACTGAAAGCGCTACATAAGCAAAGGCGGCCGGCCACGAGGGCCACAGTTATGACTCCCTTTACATGAAATGCCCAGAACAGCCCATCTACGGAGACAGAAAGGAGATCAGCTGCGTGTGGTGAAGGAGGGGAAGTGGACTGACGACGAGCAGGTCCAGGCTTTCTTTTCTGGATGGTGGAATGTCCTGGAATTAGACACTGGTGGCAGTTAGACGACTCTGAGTGCACTGACTCGGTGCACTGTACACTTTAAAATGGTATGGTTTATGATTTATGAGTTGTATCTCAAGAAAGCTTTTAAAATATTTCATAACCACGAACGTTTATATGTGAAATTCCCATCTCACCTCATTCTTTCCATTTTTGTTGTTGCTGCCCTGTGAAATCATCTTTTCTAAGACAGCAAGGAGATGCAAGGCTTTCTCGGCTTGGTAGGTTAATATATACAGGTCTACCAGCAGGAAACACACTGCTTGGGCAAATTTTTCTTCTGAGAGAAAAAAAGGAAAGAAAAAGTCACAATACAAAGTGAAGCACACATCTCTCAGGCCACTCCCCCACCCCCCAAAACTGCAAAGCTCTACAGAGCACAGCCCGAGTGTTGACTCGAATCAACGCTGACGACACAGAGCCACGAATGGAAGCAACCCACGAGGCCAAGGTTGCCCCTCCAGTAGGTGTCCCAGGCCTCTCATTTCAGGGATCCCAGTGACCACGACCTTCGGCAAAACCTTCACTGAACACCAGCACGTGTAATGCGGATTACCGCTTCGTGCGGGAGGGAATCTGAATCCCAGGACCTGTTCTGCTCCGTACTGGTTATGTGGTCTTGCACATCATTTAACGGTTTAGCCCTCAGCTGGCTGACCTGTAGAACAGGAACCCTTTATAAACCTGATGAGGGCAGAGGGGTGGGCCAGGGGATCTCTTGAGACTTCTAACCTCAGAAAGGTCTACGATTCTATGAAATGGATCTCCTTTCTAGGCTGCAGAAATAGGAAAAAGAAACAATTTGATAAAAGAAACAAGAGGTGGACTGGAGTATGTCAGAGAATCAAGACGCCAAGAGGACAGGAAGGTGAGGCCTTCGAAGGAAGAAGGGCCCAGTGAAGAAAGAAAAGGTAACTTGGTGTGACATAAAACTATTTTTCTTTCCTTTCAAAAAAAAGATACAAGAAAAAAATGAAATAAAATACCTTTTCGACCTGACTATAGGGGCTGGCAGGTGGCATGGTGGTTAAGGGTGCTGGACTCCCACATGACAGACCAAGGTTTGAGTCCTAGACCTAGCGGCTTGCTCTTTCTCTCTCTCTCTCTGGAAAAATTAAAATAAACAAACAAATAAATGAAATTAAACAAAATAATGATTTAGAAAAATAAAATAAAAGGTAGCTGCTATAATCAAGAAGAGAAAATTCCAAGACTTTAAAGAGTGGACTCCACCTGAAGACTGAGGTCAGGTGCTGGGCAATGATGGCGGTGGTGCAGTGTGAACACTGCGCTCTACGGGGTGGACCCACATGGGGAGGTTTTGCCACTTCTTGTCCAGAGACCTCCCTGAGGACGCTGTGCACGCATGTGCATGATCTGGGCTGAGACTGGCAGTGGACTGTGGTGGGGAACTCTCTTGGGACTGCTTATATCACTAACTGCACCCCCTCCCCACGGAATAAACTTAAAAACAAAACTGGAATCAGCATAGCTGCTGTACAACAGAGCTCATATGCACTGCCTCTTTTTTTTCTTTTGGTAGAGGTTTTGGCTTTAGGGTACATGCACTTGGCCAGAGAGAGAGAGACAGAGACAGTGAGAGGTAAGAGAGAAATCACCCCCACTGGCCATGCAGCAATCCCTTCTCCTCCATTCTCCTCTCGGGATCTTGGGCACGCACGCATGCAGCCTGGTGTGAGTATCAAGCCACCAGGTCCAGGACTTGAACCGTGGTTGGCCATGTGGAAGTCCAGCGACGTACCTGCTACACTATCTGCTGGCCTCGGCTCACCATATCCAAAGGCTTCTCATCACACCGACGCCGTGAGTCCTCGCCTGAGCCCCACACTTCACCTGCTCTGCACCAGCTACTTCTGACTGCTTCCTGCCCTCTCCCCACCTTGCTCCAGCCACGATGGCCTCTCTGCTGTTCCTCTCCTCCAACTCAGCCTCTCACCTCGGGCCCTCTGCACACACCATTACCTTTCACTGGAGTGATCCCCCTAGAGTAACATGGCTCATCTCCTTTCTTTAGTCAAGCCCCATCCCGGGACTTGATTCACCATCTTATCTAAAAATAACACTCCAGTCAATCTCTCCTCTCCCCGATTTTAGCTTTACTTTACGGCTCTCGGCTACCTTGCAACATAGATTTATTGTGATGCTTTGTCTCCCGTAAGAACATAAGCTTAATGAGAGTAGAGACTTTTTCTATTTGGCTCATTACACAGGCTCCAGATCCCAGAACCGTTTCTGGCTCACAGTGCTGGCCCACAGCTCAATAAACACATTGTACGAAGAACATGAGTGGTTACGATGGTAACTTGGACATCTAGGAAAATGCAAAACTATGAAACGGTGAATCAGTGATTGTGCAGAGGGGATTAAGAAAAGAAAGAAGAGAGAATTTTAGGGCAGTGAAAAGCTCTGTATAGTGTAAACCCACAGAACAGAGACCACCAAGGTGAGCCTAATGTAAGCTAGTAGCGTGTGTGATCATAATGTCTCCATGTGCGTTCATTAATTGTAACAAACCCACACTCTGACAGGGGAATTGATAATGAGGGAGGCAGTGGGCAGGTGGGGGCAGAGTACCTGGGTAATCTCTGTATCTTCCTCTTGGAGTTGCTATGAACCTAAAACTGCTCTAAAATTTAGTTTTTGTTTTTTAAATAGTAATTTTTTTTAAAGCCCATAGTCATTTTCTTTTTTTAAAAAAAGAATTATTTGATTTAACTTTATTATTATTATCATTATTATTTTCCAGTTTGATCAGAGAGAGACAGAGAGAGAAAGAGGAAGTGAGAAAGCAAGCCACCAGGTCCAAGACTTGAACTGTGGTTGGCCATGTGGGAGTCCAGCGCCCCTATCCACCATGCCACCTACTGGCTCCAACCCATAGTCATTTTCAAGGAAGAAGAAAAATGAATTTGCTTTCCAACTAGTTGATTGCTATATTCCATGCAGCCAAAGTGCAGATTAATGGGATTTTGTAAACTATTTGGGAATTCTTTTTTTTTTTTTTTTAAGAGAGATTTTTCCCATAGGGTGCGTGCACTTGCTGCAGAGACAGAGAGACAGAAAGCGAGAAATCACCCCCGCACCCTGGGGAACGCCATGCCACAATCCCTTCTCCATTCTCTTCTCAGGATTTTGGGCGTGCACACAAGTTGCCAGGTCTGGGGCTCGAACCACGGTCAGCCATGTGGGAGGCCAGCGCCCTTAACCACCACGCCAATTGCTGCCCCAAGACCAGTAATCTTAAACTAATTAAAGAAACAGAAAGTAACATAGTTCTATACCAAGTACTCTATGACTACTACCCAAAAAATTCAATTAGGCAATGGACGAAAATGAAATAGGACGCTGTCTCCTACCATTCCGAGATGCTCTTTCCTTTATGTGCTAATGTGAGAGAGGGCCAGGGACACTGAGGTATTGTTTAATCAGCACAGGAAAACACAGAAATCAGTAAGGCTTCTCAACATTTTTCAACATTTCTTTTCTTCTCTCTTTTTAAGTTTGCCAGAGTTAGCATGTGCTCCCCAGAGGCAGAGAGAGAGGGAAAGTGAGAAAGCACCCCTCGTGGAAGATGGTCACACCGCAATTCCAGAATTCTCCATGTCTTTCTCCTTTCAGGACCCCGGGCATATATGAACACACACCTGCGTGCTTTTCAAGGTGCCAGGTTTGAGACTCCAATTGCTTAGTTGGCCAGGTGGGATCCAGCTCCCTCAACCACCTAACTGGCTCTCCAACATTAATTTTCTTTTTTTTTTTTTTAAAGAATTATTTTACTGAACTTTATTTTATTTATTTATTTATTTATTTATTTATTTTATTTAACTTTATGTATATATTTATTTAAATTTGACCAGAGAGGGACAAAATGAGAGAGAGAGAAAGTGAGAAAGCAAGCCGCCAGGTCCGGGACTCGAACCACAGTCGACCATGTGGAAGTCCAGTGCCCTTAACCACCATGCCATCTGCTGGCCCCAGCCCTCCAACATTTCTAACAGTTACATTCAAAACTGTTGGAAAAGGGGTGGTAAAAAGACACCTGGAGTCATCTAAATGTCATATAACTTTAATCTTTCCTAATCGATTAATTAAAGCTGGGGCCAGCTGGTGGTATGGTGGTTAAGTCACTGGACTCCCACGTGGCCAATCACGGTTTGAATCCTGGACCTGGAGGCTTGCTTTCTTACTTTCCCCCCTCATTCTGATCAAATTAAAATAAATAAATAATAATGAAGAAGGAATTTTTTTTAAAAAAAAAGCGGACACAATTTAAGGTATTTTGTCAATCAATAAAATGTGGAAAAAATGTAACAACAACAACAACAAAAAGCTGACATAAGTTTCTGTTTGTTTTTCCAGATTGATGTAATTGATCTGATTTAGGTTGTCTGGGTGAAAGTACCAGAGACCTCGGTAAGCATGAAAAGATAGGGAAATACATGACTTGACTAGTAACTTACCAAAAGGTTCTATAAACTGATAAAGCTTCTCACCAACTGATATTGCTTCTGTGTACTGCCGCAAATGATAAAGAATGACTGCCTGGTTATAATACAGCATGCTGTTTTCCACATCGTCTAACCCATCCATCTCTTCGACAGCTGAGTGGACCTGCGGAACACCAACGGGAATCGTGTCCTAACGTCAGCAAGCAGATAAAAGCACAAGCGAAAAAAATCCGCATGGATAATCAGGGACCTGGGGCCAACATTTGTTATTACTTTTCCAACTTTCGCACATTAAGAACATTATTCGTCGCTTTCGAACATAATAAAATTACATTAAGTGTAGCAAACCGATGGGACTTTTGGTATCACCATGAGGTCAAGCAATTCTCTTCCTTGCCACTCCGAAGACATTGTTCCTGATTTAACTGTCAACATGGTTTCTGACTGGGAGTCCCATTTTCTCAGGACCTAGAAGAGGCTAGATGCGGAGTAGGCCAAACACAAAATGACCTTTCCCATAAAAATGTTATGAGGCTTGCATAGTCTGATTCCTTTTTCTAAAAGCTAAGGTAAAATTTAGAAGCAAAGGGCCAGACAGTAGCATGGACCCTGCATGGCTGATGGCACAGCTGAGGACCTGGGCTTGAAAATATACTGGCATGTGCACCTGTGTGCCCAAAATCCTGCGAGGAGAGGGGAAGAGGAGGCGTGTCCATCCCCCCCTTGGGGGTGCTTCCTTACTTTCCCTCTCTCTGTCTCTCCGGCAAGTTTATGCACCCTACAGCAAAACTAAAAAGTAAATAAATAACAGTAACAACAGTAGCTAACTACTTACCATATACCAGGCTTGCTAAGAGTTAAAACTTTTTCATTTGTTTTTAACTTGCTATAGGGTACGTGTTTGCCAGAAATAGAGAGGGAGGGTGAGAGAGTAATCCCCCGGGGGATGGCCACACAATGCCCTCTTCCTGTATTCTCCTCTTGGGGTTTTGGGCATGTACGCACACACACCCAGAGTGGTTTTTAAGTCACCAGTCCAGATTCCAGCCGCAGAGTTGGCCATGTGGGATCCCGTCCCTTAACCACCACGGCACTGCTGGCCCAGCGGAACTCCGATATACGTGGATCTGCGCTCGCTGTGGCAGCATGTACACTAACACTGGAATGACACGCACAGATTTAACTACTGCGGTTTGGCTGATGGTAAGAAATGTGAAGGTTCATGACATAGTTGGTTCCTAAATGGACTTCTGGGAACTTTAACCACCCATGTGCTGAGCTTGACAACAGAATTCGGAGGGACAGAAAATGAGAAATCACCCCTGAGGGGTGATGGCTACGCCACAATCCCTTCTCTTCCATTCTCCTCTCGGGATTTCGGGCATGTACGCATACACACCTGGCTGAGTTTTAAGCCACCAAGGCCGGGACTTGAACCACGGTCAACTACATGGAAATTCAGTGATATAACCATTATGCCATCTGGTGGTCCCCAAGATAGCAGCTTAATAAATAAAGATTATAGAGAACCTTCAAACTCACTGAGATGCAGGTGCTATTCCTCGGCTCAGACCAATGGGTAAAAATACTGGTGTAAATGATCAAATGTGATGATGTATTAACTTACGAAAACTAAGGAGGTTACAAGAACAGGTTCAAGAGTCAGAAGCCTGGTTCAAATCCTGCTGCTCCTTTACTACCTGAATAAATTAAGATCACTAGACTTCCTACCCCTCAGATTCTTTTTATTCTTTTTTTTAATTTGGCAAAGGGTGCATGCACTTGCAGAGAGAGATTGGGGGGGGGGCAAAGAAAGCACACCCCCATGGGGGAGTTAAACTGCAATCCCTTCTCCTCCATTTCTTCTTTCAAGATTCTAGGCATGCACATGCAACCAGTGTTTCTCAAGTAGTAAGATCTGGGATTCAAACCACACAGTCGGCCATATGAGATATAGCTGCCTTAACCACTATGCCACCAGCTGGCATCCTAACCCTCAGTTTTAAAACTAAAATAACTGGGGGCAGCAGGTAGCATAGTGGGTAAGGCACTGAACTCTCACATGGTCAACAGTGGTTTGAGTCCCGGACCCGATGGCTTGAAACTTATGCCAGGCACGTGTGTACAAGACCAAAATCCTGAGAGGAAAAGGGATTATGGTGTGGCCGGGGGGGGGGGTGATTTCTTGCTTTCTGTCTCGTAGCGAGCACATATGCTCTATAACAAAAATCACTTAAAAAAGAAAAGGCAAAAAAACAAAACAAAACAAAATAAAACCTGACTTTAGAAGTACCTAGTTCCAGGGTTGAATGTGAGAGGAGGTGTAAAACAGCATTTAATATAGAATCTGGCATCAATTAAGCATTCAATAAATACTGGCTTTAGGGGACCAGCAGGTGGCTTCGTAGTTAAGATGCTGGACACTCCCACATGGCCAACCACGGTTCAAGTCCTGGCCTCCTGCTGGCTTGCTTTCTCACATTGTATGTGAGTGTGTGTGCGTGTGTGTGTCTTGTCAAATGAAAATAAATGAATAAGTAAGTAAAATTAAATATATAATTATTTTTAAAATAAATAAATACTGGCTTTTATTCTCATATTTGTTGAATTTTAGCAGGGTTTAAAAATTACATTTATGGGACCAGCAGATGATGTAATAGTTATGTCACTGGACTCCCACGTAGTCGACCCACAGTTCGAGTCCCAGACCCGATGGTTTCAAACTCTCACCAGGCACATGTGCATGTGTGCCCAAAATCTTGAGGAAAGAAGGGACTGTATCGTGGCCACGCCTCCTGGGGAGTGATTTCTCGCTCTCTGTCCCAGGTGAGCACACGTGGCCTCCTATAGCAAAAATCTCTCTAAAAATAAAAATTACGTTTGTTCTGGGACCAGCAGCTAGCGTAATGGCTATGTTGCTGGACTCCCACGTAGTTGACCGCGGTTTGTGTCCCGGACCCAGTGGCTTAAAACTCACACTGGGCACATGTGCGTGTGTGCCCAAGATCCCGAGGGGAGAACGGAGGAGAAGGGATTGCGGCGTGGCCATCCCCCCGGGGGGTGATTTCTCGCTTTCTGCCTGTCTCTCTCTGTCCGGCGAATGCACGGACCCTATAGCAGTAACCTCTCCAAAAAATAAAAGAAACCACGTTTGTTCTACAAAGAATTATAAAGAGCCTGAAGGGTTTGCTTATTTCTAATTGTACCAAGTTTTAGGACAACACTGTACCTTGGTACCATGGTACTAGGACTATGGTATAAGGGGAATCAAAAGGGTCACAAGGCCGCCCTGAAGCATGAAGCAGTCACTGAAGGTGCAAGCTCCAGCGTCAAACAAAACTGGGTCCATACAGTTCTACGTAACTCCTTAAAAGAGCTGTACGACTGGACAATTTACACAGCTATCTGTGCCTCGGGGTTCCCGTCTGTACAACGGAGTATTCGGTCGTTGGAAAAGCCATGACGCATTTGTGTATGTCTTCCTACGCGAAAATGCATCATGACTTTCTCAACGAACCAATAGTTCCTCTGCAGTCCTATAAATAAGATGCCGTGTGCAAGGCTCTCAGCAGAGCCGTCACCCAGTGACTAGCTGACCCAGTCGGCATTACCCTTATCAGCCCTGTGAGAATTGCACTGTTATAACCAAATCAGTGACCAACTCGAGCCCCGAATCAGATGGGAATGAGAGTATGTTTTATCTCATTACTCAGCTCCTGACCTAAAATGCAGAAACAACTTTGTGTTATTATTACTCATCAGACCTCTGCAATGACACGTATTACTACAAACTATATCTCAGCAGCTAAGCTTCTTTATATAGTTCCACTTTAGTTGTTTCTCAAAGCTCCGACCATTCAAATTAGTCTATTTTGTTCAAGTTCATTAAAAGCCCAATAACAATAACACAATATACCTTTCATTCCTAGACTAATGATCTTATACAAAATCAATGCCAACAAGTATTGCAGATACATTTGAAATTGCACCATCATTGTAAACTAAGAAGTCACATTTCTTTTCCTTAAATATCTGCATTTCACGTATGAAAGAACACAACAACTTTTTTTATAGTTAAATGTTTTTATGTATCACCTGATTCTTCAGCTGGTTAAGTGTCTGTCTCAAATTATCTGTTGTTGTCTGGTTACTTTTAAAAAACTCGGCTACTGCTGTATTCAAAATGATTTTATAATCATCTTTGTTTATATCTTGTAGACAGGAAAGATGTTGTAGACAGGCATCATAATTTCCAGACTGGAAAAAAAAAAGTAAAGAAAGAAAACTACCACACATACATACAAAATTACATACCGGCTTTAAGAACAATATCTCATTTTCAAATACATTTTGCTCATCTTTATCTTAAAGAACATACAGTATAACCCTAAATATACTAATTGTAGCCACTCTGTAAAGTAACATTCATGCCAACTAAGGAAGTGTGGATATTTCCTAAAATTCATTGCTAGCATTAAGACATATGACACACACATATATTAACAGGTATAACCAATACATCTGTATGTACGTGTGTTGCCAGCAAAGTACAAATAGCTGAGGGTAGCCAAGAATGACACTATGAGGGGACGTCAAGAGATAATCACACAGGTAGTGAAAAGAAAAGATGGTATTTATAAACCTAATTTAAACGAAGAGAAAGGGGACCAGCAGGTGATGTGGTAGAGGCGCTGGAGTCCCACATGGCTAACTGAGGTTGAAGTCCCAAGCCTGGCAGCTTGCTTTCTCACTTTTTTTCGTGTGCTCATGCCCTATAGCAAATAAAAAAAAAAATGTAAAAAAATGATAAATAAAATAATTCTTGACCTTTTATTTTGGCCAGAGGGTGTGTGTACTTGCCAACAGAACGGGCAGTGAGGGGGTGGTGACGATAGCGGTGAGAAAGCGTGTGGGTGTGAGCACATCCACCTGGTGTTTCTCTCAACCCACACGGTCTAACACGTGAACCGCATAGCGAGCCATGTGGGATCTATGCACCTTGACCACCATGCCATGGGCTGGCTCAAAAATCTAAATTTTAAAGACTTCAAAATAATAGTGCGAGAGTTAAAAATATTTATGAAAACACAAAAACTTGGCAGTGGCTCAAATTACTCCCACTCCTTTCGTTCTGTTTAGTTAAACTCTGAGACATCTTTTATTTTAAAACTAAACGTATCTCTCTCTAAACTTAACTGCTGCATGATTCCAGAACAAACATTTTAATTTAAAAAATGAACCATTAAAAGAGTCACATGTGACAGAGTAAACGGGAGCGGACAGAGAGGCCGCTTCTTACTGTGAACTCCTGGAAGGCGCTGGAGGACAGCTCCTTCTCTTGATCAGTGATCCCCGTGGACGGGCCCGTCCCTTCATGTTTCTCTGCTCCCTGATCTGCAAACACACACGTTGTACAGTTGTTTAGAAATTAAAGTTGTACAGTAAATTTGTTCCTTCTCTTCTAAAGAGTTATTTATTTCATTTTATTTATTTTTAAATTTGCTGTAGAGTATGTGCACTCACCAGAGAGAGACAGAGAGAGGGAAAGTGAGAAAAGCGGCCAAGTCCAGAACTCGAACCACAGCCAGCCATGTGGGAGTCCTGAGCCCCAACCACCTTTCCACCTGCTGGCCCAGTTCTTCTCTTCTTAACTGTCTTCTTTCTAATGAAGTTACCCCAGTTAGCGCCTTCTCATGGAGAGCCAGTCTGCACTAGAAGTGAACAGGCGGCCATTCCTTTGCTCAAGTCTTGAACTTGAAATGTTTCCCTCGGCCGTGGTGACACTCGCCCACTTACGTAAGGATTGCAAGCCCTACTTCAGGCTGAGAAGTTGTATTTTCTAAAAAAGATGTGATTTTGGCCCTGCTGTGGTGGCACGCACTGGCCACTCCTGCTCTGTAGGCTGAGGCTACATGGGAGGTCCAGGTTCGAATCCTTGCCCATCCTAAAGGGCCTGGTACACCTTTAATGCCAGCTACTCAGGAAGTCAAGGTGGGAGGATAGAGACAGAGCAAGGCATTTTTTTTTTTTTTTTGAGAGAGTGAGATTTCCTTTTTTGCTATAAGGCGTGCACATTTGCAGAGAGACAAAGAGAGACAGAGAGACTGAGAGCAAGAAATCACTATGGGGGGATGGCCATGCCACAGTCCCTTATCCTCCAGTTCTCCTCTCAGGATTTTGGGCACACACTCACACATGCCCAGCATGAGTTTTAAGCCACCAGGTTGGGGACTCAAACGGTGGTTGGCCAGGTGGGAGTCCAAGGACATAACCATTACACCATCTGCTGGTCCCGAGTAAAGCATTGTTTTAAGAAAAAAAAAAAAATTATATTTGCCACCCAGCAATGTAAGTATAGAATCCCACATACTCAAACTGTACCAGGTCTTAGAGACACAGGAGATTATAAATGTATACAATGCCTTCAAAGGCTTATGATCTAGGTGGTAAATAGTAACTTTTTTTTTTTTTTAGGGAGGTTTTTGCTATAGGGCACGTGCACTCGCCAGAAATACGGATAAAGACAGACAGAAAGCAAGAAATCACCCCTCCCCCCCAGGGGGGATGGTCACACCGCAATCACTTCTCCATTCTCCTCTCAGGATCTTGGGCATGCACACACACGCATCCAGTGTGAGTTTAAGCCACTGGGACCGGGACTCGAACCATGGTCAACTACATGGGAGTCCAGCAACATAGCCATTACGCCAACTGCTGGTTCCCTGGTAAAAAGTAACATTTAACAATTAGAAAATTACACTTGAAAAGAGCTCACAGTTAACTTCACAGCTTTAGAAACCTGAAGCTAAAGATTAACCTTCAGGAGGTGCAGCAGGTGGCAATGGTGGTTAAGGCACTGGCCCGTCACATGGCTGACTGCAGTTCAAGTCTTGGATCCAGTGGCTTGAAAATCATGCAGGGTGCAGGAGTGTGTGTGCCCCAACACCTGAGAGATGAGCAAAGGAGAAGGGACTGTGGCATGGCCATCTCCACTGGAGGGAGAGTGGGGGATGATTTCTCACTTTCTCTCTCTCTCTCTGGTGAGTGCACTTGCCCTACTGCAAAACCTAAAAAACAAACAAACAAAAACCTTCAGTAACATGAATAAATGTCCATAAACATTCTTTTTTTTTTTTAAAAAAGAATTATTTTGGGCCGGCAGGTGGCATGGTAGTTAAGGGCGCTGGACTCCCATATGGCCAATCACAGTTCAAGTCCTGGACATGGTGGCT